TAAGAGGAAGTAGACGATTTCGCAATACAATTCGCCACATTGCATCTGTTAAAAACGATTCTCGCAGGTCTCTTAAGTCAAGGAATCAAGTAGTCGGTCGTTACCTATTAGGTAATCAGGTAATACAACATTGCAAAGATCAGCATGTGTCAATTTCATCCTTTGCCGCGACACACATTTACCCGTAAGTAAGCGGCCGATTGTCGGTCGATATCCCGCTGCATCGAGAAATCTAAGTAAGTCTGCGAAAGAAAGGAGAATTTCCGAACAGGGTGGCCTCGTCGCCGGCTCTCCTTACAAGGCAACCGGTTGATGAATGACTGAACGTAGCGTCCTTGCCATATCGAATCGCCAGGAAACTCGCCTACTATTATCGTTTACACAAGATTTGCGACAACTATTTCCCACCAGGATATCGGATAGAAACACGAATGATCGCCTGTCGATATTTTTCAGTAGCATACAAATGGTTCCTTGGCTGGCAGTTTCATAGGCGTAAACATCTTAAGTATTTAAATTAATTTTTTTGATTTGTGAGAAAGACTGTATATTTATAAAATACAATTAATTATGAAATTTATTTATCATATCTCGATTTAAATTTGTTAAATTATTAAAATAGTTTCATAAATGTATATATCTTTTTCATTTTAGATAAATTAGTTTGAGAAGCTTCTATTTCATATACATAATATAATTATTAAAAAAAATATAATTATAAAATTTAAATAAAATCTTACAAAATGTTTAAAAATAGATATAATTAGAAATTAATAAAACTACATTACATACATTAAGATAAAACGCATCAAGTTTTATCGACTAATTTTTTTATTGTTACTGTTAATTGTCAGATAAGATTTAAAAAAATTTAAATATTAAGAAAATTATTCATGAAAGAGTTCATCAAATACTATAAATCATCTATGCTAATAGAGGCAAATTTTTTATGAATCATATTTATCATTATCTATCAATATTTACGGATCAAATAATAGAAATAGCGATTAGTGTAGTATATTAATAGCAACGGTAAATAGACTGTTAAATGACGATATGAGGAAGAAGCGAACATTTTAATCGTTGAAAAACCGCAAGAGTGAAGGGACGAATATATCATGTTTGCTGCACTAAGTTCTCGGCTGAAGAGTACAGTACGCAAATTTGTGCCTATGACAGGTATAAACTAATTAACATTTTGTTTAAAGTAAAGCTATAACATACAGTTTGGTAAAAATAAAACATGAGAAAAAAACAGAAAAAAAGAAATTTTTTCTGTTAATAATCGATTTAACTATCAGCAATTCGAGAAAACATCGTTAATTCTGCCGTTATCTACTGTGCGGTTTTTATTTTTAATATTTTTCTCAATATCTTTACAAATAAATACAAATAAATAATAGAATAGAGAATATAGATAATATCTTATTTCCTAATCTCTTCAAAGCTTTATTTTTGTGTACATGCGCATATGTATAGACACACGTACGCACCTGAGATAATCACTCCCTATGAACCCATGTCAGTGTTTCTCAACTGTTTTAGAATTATGGCATACTTTTATCTTAAAAAGATGATGGCAATAAGGAAATAAATAAACTCTATCTATCCATCTATTTATCCATTCATCCAGCCATCCAGCCATCTGTCCGGTTATCTATCTATGTACGTAATATAAATATGTAAGTATCTTATTCTTCATTTAACAGGAAATTGCAAAATAAGATTCTGACAGAATAAATATTATATTTAAATTTTAATGATCCTAGCAGCTTTAATTAATTGCTTAACCGATTTTCAATATGTTTTAAACTAAATAAATTTAACATTATCACGATCGTCGCTGGATGCCAATAAGATATGAAAAATACGATACGTGCTCTCTACATCAGAAGTAAAAAAAACAATTTTCACTCGCAGAAACGCAATGCACGCACCTGCCGTGTGAGAATTACGTTTTCTAACTGTACCGTAGGTACGCGCTATAACTGGTGAATGGGGCAAGCTGCAATTGCGGAATGTAAACGTCCGTATGGAATGGAAAGGCCGTAAATCGATAAAAATAAAAGCTGAACGTAATCCTAGTTCTCACAAATGATTATCTTGTGGAATTTTTAATTTTTCTTGTCCACAAAAAGAACGCATTAGATCGTTTTCGATGTAACGGGGCGACCACCGTAGTTGTTAAGCAGCGGATATTGCTGCTCCTTTGAGGAACGATTCGCACGGTATGAGAATACAGGACATGAATACGTGTTGTTCGCATTGTA